GCCAACTGGCCATCAGTGTGGCTTACAAAGCAGCAGGGACACATGGGCGTAGCATGGCAAACCCATCACAGCCAATGCCACTGCATTCTGGACCACCTGTAGCTTCTCAATGGTCTTCAAGGGCAGCCGCGGTTACAACTGATTTTTTCACAACATGCAAAGATGTAAACATGGTTTACAAACCACAGCTAAACCAGAACCACATATACTACATTATATCTTGCATTAACCCAAGCCTAGATGTTTTGTCTTGAGATGGAGATGGTGAATCTCTGGATTGCTAGAAGCTATTCCCCTCTCTTTCTCAATGGAGACAGCAGCTTAGCATGACCATATGCCTTCCAGAAGTGCTGGGTCTACAGCTCCCAGAATTTCCAGCCAGTATGATGAAAAACGCTGGGTTAAGGAAAATTAACCTATTTTTTTTAATGTATTATATTCAGTTTGGATGCCACCTGACTCCAACTGACTCTGGGCAGCTCACAAAAATAGAGTCCATAAAAACAACACAATATTTAAAAAAATGAACCAGAACAAGTACAAACGTAACTATACAATCATTATAAGATGGCAATCCAAACAACAAAGCAAGCATAAAACATCAAATCCACTCTACTGCAAGACCTGGGGAAATAGCCAGGTTTTCAAGGGCTTCTGGAATGTCATCAGGGTGGGAGATGTCTCATTCTTTCTGGAATTAGCTATCTCGTGGGAGTGATCTAACAGTGGTTTTTCTGCATTAAGCAGCCAAAGTTCTAAAAGTTGGACCTTGAATCAGAGCCCAGACTGTCCTATCCACCTTTATCCAGCAGTAGTGATAACACCACCTTCATTGTTTCCTTTCTGTCAAAATCTTCCTCTCTTCCGCTGGTCAACTGGCTATGGTCTTAGAATGCTTTGAATGGAATGGAATGACCTCCCTGTTACAGCACTAAGACAGAGCTATATGCAGTTTAATACTTAACCTAACAGAATATATGATCCATTTCTATGGTATAAACATTAATCTAGGAATTAGACCTCCACAGCAGCGACCTGACTGAGCCATTCAGATGCCTCCTTCTGAGAGCAGGCAGACAATGAGGGAACTAAAACAATAGCAATTCACTAACAATTATTGCTAATTCATTGCTGGCCTTGGCTATTTTTCTCCAAAAGGAGTTTCTGTTCTGCTGCTTGCTTTTAATCTTTTTAGAAATACTTAACATTTTATTTCAAAAGCTATCCAATGCCTTTCTAGCTGGCTAGCTGTACAACCCTTTTAAATGACTTCACCATTTGTCTCAGGCTCAGGAGGTCAGCTGGAGATCCGCTTGGAGCAGGGGTTCCCCAGGTCAGTGCCATGCGCTCCTACCTAATGCACCTTAGGACTTTGGGGCCTGCTGGAGCTTCTGAGGCTTGCCATATCAATCAAGCTGTAAATAGATCAAATTGGTCAAGCTGCTGTTTTCTCCATATTTTTAGCAATCTTTTCAAAGAGGAAGGTGAGGATGAATGTTCGTACAGGCTGCACACAGTTTCATCCAAGGGTCACTAATGGGAACTTAGAAGGTGGCAAAGCACTTTACTGGGCTCTTAACTGGACTTAATGGTCAGGAGCACATACTTAGCACTTTTCTTTTCACATGACGATGAGCAATCCTATGGAAGGAATGATCTGCCCTGAATCACTGTATCTCCCATCTCTTGCTTACTCTCTTTTTCCTTCTCTCCTGCTTCCATTCAGCTCCCCTCCCTTCCTCCTAGCAACAATGGGAGAGAGAATCAACTCCTCCTTTTGATTTGGCTGTCCTACTTTTGGGTAAGCTGCTACTTCTTGCGTTTCCTAAGGCAGGACAGGCATCCAACTGTGCTATCTTTGGCAAATGCTGGCATGTGCCGGTGCCCTACTTTATGAAGCATTTGGACCTGTTCAAATGAAGGGAACATTTTTGCCTCAAGAGTCTCTGCATGCTTTGAGGAAACTAAATGTCTCATCTCCTCCCTGACCATGCCTCAGTACTGTTGTAAATGAGTTGATGTCTTGATTAGTTGATGGATCATCCAAAGTGACATCGGAGGCTGGCTGGGCAGGGCTCAGTTTCCCTTGTTTTGTTCCTCTGCTTGCCAAATGAGCATAAGAAGCCTCGCTTGCTTTGTCTGAGCAAATGGTTTTGAAATGCAGTAGACCCTAGGAGAGCATAATATTGTTCTTTTCATCCATGATTTGTTTGTTAGCATTGATGCCAAAGAAAGAAAGTCATAAAAGAACAGCAGTGAATGGCAGCTGACGGTTACAGGCAGTTATGTTTGCTGACAAAATGCAAATTATAGAGGGACATTTGGTACATGCTTTATATTTGCCATAGGATTCTGGGCACCTTCTGTCCCCTGTGAGAATTATGACCTATGTTTGGGGAAGAGATTTCACCACAATGCATTATTGTTATTTTACATACATGATAAGGAAAGACAAAGATACGATTTTTAAAACACCCTTTGCTGTTGGACACATATTCTGTGCAGTATGACAGCAAAGTTATAAGGGGAATTCTCAAACTCCAAAAGCTATCCTATTTTTGCTTACATTGCAAGCTTGTTAAAACTTGTCTATACCTATGTATCTGTATACACACACATACACATAAAAGGCAAGAGTGCTTTACACCTCTCTAAAGAGCTAATTCTAGCTTGGGAGGAGCAGGACCCAACTGTCATTGTTGGGTTCTTGCAGAAGCCTATACCATCAGAGGTGGTCTAATGCTGATTCCCAAACCTTTACTTTGGTAGGGGTAAACCAAGCCATGAGCAGATTTTTTAAAAAGGAGTATTTTAATGATGCCTAAAAGGAAAGAATGAGAGCCAGTCCT